CCGAGTTATATATATTCAACACAAAAATGATTATTCTTTATCTAATTTCCCTTGTTGAATTGTATTATTTGATGTGTTCTAAGGTGCATGGATACGATGGAATTCATATGACTTTGGTTTGCCCTTATCTCATAAATACGGGAATGTTCAATGGAGTAAATCCCAGGTTTGTAAAAGTATAATGTAAAAGTATAACACAAATGTCGGTAAGAAAAACTATAGTCTCTCTCTAACTTCTGTATTCTTAGCACTATATTCTTAACATATTTTTAATAGTCGAGTTCAATGATTTCTAATTATGGCTCCTGTATACACTACGCGGCAACGCTTGCCGCGCGGTAAAAAGCGACGCGTTAGCCAATCAACTTACAACTTTTCCATAAGAGCGAAAAATTGAGTGGCTACCACGTCGCTTTTTGCCACATCCTATGTGCAGGAGCCATAATACTAAAATTACGAATTCGTAATTCACGGCCGGCCGACAGTGGTCACCATATAGTCTCTCTCTCTTTTCCCCTCCCCTTGTCGATCTTATATATAATAATTTATATTATATGAAAAAAAAAAAAAAAAAAAAAATTTTAAAAATGTCGCCGACGCGATTGTTCGGTAGGAAAGCTCTTGCCAGCGGCGGTGCGGTGCCAAAAGGAGTCGCGGCGGCGGCGACGGCGGTATTTTCCCTTCCCTTTCGCTGTCGTCACCGTCTTCTTTCGCGACAATTAAGCTTAACGAGGCACTGTTTGCCGGATGTATTTGAGGCGGCTTCCCACTTATTAGCGCCAGCACGGCGCTAAACTCTCCGCAGCGGCCCCCGTGCGGACCGTGCGTGTTTACTCTCGTCGCCGTGTATGTACCGCCGGTGAAGACGACGACGAGGAGGACAGCGAGGCAACGACGACTAGAACTACGCGGCGGTTCCTAAGCCGGCTCGTAACGCGCAGAATCGCATCCGTATGCGTGCGTGCGTACTCGCGCGAGCCGACAGTGAGCAAACAGCCGTCATTTACATACGCGGCTTCTCAGCCTTTGCTTAATTAGGGGAACGTGACGCATGATCCTCGCGCCGTGGCTTCTGCCCTCCCGGTTTGTCGTCTCTCAATCTCTCACCTGGCCTTCTGGGAGAGTGAAAATATTGAACAATTCGATAAGCACATTTTACTACCGAATGCTTATATCGGGAATTATTTCACTCATTACAACTTGAAAACAGTCGTGCGGTAATTTTCACATAGAACTATAAATTTTATAAAAATTTACAAAATAATTCACACACAAAACAGATTGATGCCGATGCTTAAACCAGAATACGTTGCTGAACGAGTGGTCGCGGGTGTATTAGCGAATGAGATGTTGATAGTGTTGCCCAGCATCATAAAATATTTATTGCCATTTAAATAGTGAGTTCAATATAAATACGCACTATAAATAAAAAATTTTAATGATCGTCTCTCTTATTGATGTCATATTGAGTTGTGATGTTAAAAGCAAAAAATCATATGAATTTTTTTCTTGCAAAATACATCAAAATAAATAAGTTTTTTTGAATGCGATCATACGTATTTGATAATATGGTTTAGTATAATATACCGAAAACTTTCTTTTTTATTCATAAATTAATAAATAGCTATAAATCTTGGTCAATCGTCGTAGGGTTTATTTTCGTTGATAATGTAGCACTAATGCACGAGTTACACCGTCATTTATTAATATAGGAGAACAAAAAAAGTTTTTGGCGTATTTTACTAATCCATATTATCAAACAGAATTAAGTAACCGCATCTACAAAAAATTTCGTTATATTTCGTAAGAAAAAAATTCATATAAAACATACATAAAATAAGCCTTAATACATAAAGATTTTAATGTTTCAGTCTATTCCCAATTAAAATATGCTGGGCATTAATGTATCACATTTTGAAAGGACCACAAATTATGATGACATTCAAAGGTCGTGAACCAAGGAAGACATCAAGTGATAATGATAGTATAAACATATATGCGAGCAGTAAAGTTATAGGAAACTAAAATAAATATTTTATATTTTTAAAATATAT